AGATCTCATTGGCATCTCCTTGTTGTGGTTGTCATGGTTGTCATGGTGTGTGTGCAGTGTTTATTTATGTCGTTTTATATTTACCCTTCAGATGCTTCTCACACGGACGTTTATGTTTCATGTGTAAAACCGGTCATTTCACGCAGGGAGTCAATGTCACAGTGGAGGAGACGACCTCTGTAGTAATACTGCTGTGAATAGATGAATGACTGAATGAATGGGCAGGCTCAGAGAACACGACTGAGGCAGACACATGGCGCCCCCTAGCGATGACTTTCTACAGACGCGACAGCACATAAAATGGAATTTCAAGAATGGGCTCGTGCAGAATAATGTCATTCATTGAAAATGAACAACATTAATCTTGCTTTAATCCTAATGAATAATTCAGTGGACACACTGCAGATATTTGGCTTCCTGCTGTCTGGCTGGATGGATTCCACCTCTCTTCCTTTTGCAGAACCTCTCTATTTTCAGGTGTTAACGTATTCTCAACCTGTATCCTGCCCATCAGCGTGGACCAATCAGGTTGCACCAAAGCTGCCTCGGGACTAAAAATAGCATCAAGTGCTGACGTGAAAGATGAGTCACACAGGGCAGCCTCAGTCCTCTGCTTTTGTCCGTGGCTAACACACACACACATACACAACTTCTCCAGTGACCTCAGTACAGTATGTGCAGACTGCCACCAGGGTGGTGATTATGTTTTGATGGATATGACTCCGGCCATAGATTAAAATTAAATTTGCGAGATGTCAATTCATCACCAACTTGTTGGAGGTCTAGCTCCAGTGCCACAACTCCCACTGTTCCTCCTCTGCAATGCCACACTGAGTTGATGACGTAATGCAGGACAGAAAAAATGCGCAAAATAGTCCTTGAATATTGTACAGTATGGTGACTGCCTAAGGCGTTCTCTGTATTGACATGCTTACATACAAAAACATAAATTGCACGACAAAGGTCTAAAACGTAATCAGATGATGTAAACATTACATTCTTTAAAAATGTTATGAAAATGTGAATCACACACAGATATATATTTCGGAATAAAAAAATTTATATCTTTCGATGTCACAAATTTACCCAGACGAGACGAGAATTATCATAGGACTTTTGTGAAAGACCTAAAAAAATGAAAAAAAAAATCCAAAAAGTGACGGGAAATTAATATTTTTCTCTTCTTTTTTTAACATTTTGTTGCGATAGTAATACTATAGTATTGCTTGCTACCCTTTCCCTTCAGCAGCAATCATATTTCTCAGTAAAGGAAAGAAATGAAGCTGCAGACAAAAGATGTCAGTTCCCAAAACTAAAATGTATCCTTGGTATTGTGACAAATAGACGCAAACAATAAGTTGCAGCATAATTCAGTATAAAAGTTGCAGGGATTTTCCTTAAGGTGCACTGACCATAGTGAGCAGTGATCGTGTGTAGCTACCAATGAACAAACTAATAAGCCTGCACTGCTACTTGGTGGATTGTAGATGCCGTGCAGGGAGCTTGTGATTGGATAAGGAGGCGCAGCCGTGCCCTTTAAAAGCGGAAGGAAGTGGTACTACTTTCTGGCCCCGTGATGATTGGAAAATGATACTGCGTGAAGGCGCAGAGCAAAAGGCTAGATATTATTAGGGTACGTATTTCTATCTCTGGTTCTCTTCACTTTGACGATTAACGCGTCATGTGAAGGACGAGTATTCCTCCGAGCGTGCAGACGGTTTGTTTTAAACCGTCTGCATGCTGCTGAACACCGCCGGGTGGGGCAGCTGGTTAGCGTGGTAAACAGTAGCCTGTTTGAGCCGCACGGTTTGCTCATTCAAACTAGTTCTGACTGCACGTAATGCTTCAGTCAGCGTTTTATTGAAGTGTACGAGATACCGCTTTGTTTTTTGGCCTCTAAATATTTGCACGAAGACCGTTTGGTTTGAGTGGTCGAAACATTTTGGGTGTTACAACTTTAGCCACGTGTGTAGTGAAGAAGTGGCTGGTTTTGTGAGGAACTTCAAAGCGGCACTTGCACTTTGTAGTGAATTGTAACGATGGGACATCCATGAAGAAGACAACACATTATGGTCGAGGGTACGAATTTACATGTTTTAATTATTTAAGCGTGTGTGTGTGTGCGAAATTAAATTGATTAAGTAAATCCCTTCAGGTGTAGCGGCAGACCCATATCGCCATCACCTGGCCTGGGGGACTCCACGACGCCAAGCAGAATCATCAGGTTTCTGTTACGTGAACGACATCGTCCTGGCCGTTTTTGAGGTGCTCTAGTAAGAAAACATGTCAAGTTTTTTTTTTTCCCCACTGGAAATGAAACTTTTGGACAGCATTTACAGCGTGTTGTTAAATGTTTACAGGACATCGGGGCTGGCAAGGTATATTACGCAGTGAATTACCCACGAAGCCATCTTTAAACTGGTAAATCTGTTTTACTGTTGGTGTTATTTAGCTTTATTCCCCCCCAACTTCTTTGTGGACACGTTTTCAAAATGTGCATCTTGGGTTTAGATCATGGCCAAAGTAGTGGAGATGTACCAGCTGAGCGCAGTGGTCCTTCAGTGTGGAGCCGATTGAACCTCACCGTTAAAGGTATGAAAAGTGGATTTGAGCCTTTCACAGGTATTGACTAAGGGGTGACACATTAACTGGACAAATCCAGCACAGAAAAGATTGATAGAAACAGTTTTAGAAGTGTATAAAGTTTATTGAGTAAATCAGCAGTTTAAGGTTAAGTAGAAAATGATGGCTGCTCTAAGGCCTCCCCCCCCCCCCGAGTTGTAACTATGAAATTGTGTATCATTGTTTTAATGTTTTTTGTTTGTTTGTTTTTAATTACTGCATTTAATTGACTTGTTTAAAGTACTATGTAGTGGCACAAACCAAATGAGTGGTTTGCTTAAGTAGATGGTAGTGGTTAATTGAAGTGTTTTGTAACATGCTTGTCCTTTGAACACTTAGAACATGGTGTAGTCATCTGAGAGCAATTGTATGGAATGTTGTCTTTATTTAATCTTGTTTCAGGCCAAGAGAAGAGGTTTAACCAAGTTGTTCCACTCCTGTTACTGTTATAATTTGACTTGGTGTGTTTGCTCTTAAGTCATTCATTGTGCAAGTGTTGTGGTTGTTTGTTTTTTTTAACTTGGCTTTTTACTTATTGCTTACTTTTTACTACTTGGTGATTTATTGTAAGTAAAAATAGGTTTTTAGCACATTATTCACTTGGGGTATGTCTTAAGGCATAAACTTGCATTTTGAGGTATTTATTGGACTTTTGTAACAGTAACACTCTAGTGTTCCTTGTTTTGGTTCATTTTCATGAAATCATTAGTACACCATGGAAGTAATTGTAGTAATAAAACATAAATTTGTAATAAAGAAATTAATTTTATTTACGTTTCAAAGTTTTATGACAACTTTCTCATTACTGCTATGCATCCAGGTTTGTGTGAAGGCATGCTGTTATTTTAACAGATTAAGACAGATGTTTAGAACATTTAATGGACACTAACTGATATCTTGAAGTAAATTAAATATTACTAATTAAATGTATTACAATACATTTAGCAGACACTTTTATCCAAAGCGCCATATGAATTGAGTCAATCAATGAGATTTTTTTTCAACTTAGGTTTTTGTGTTTGGACTTAATTTTGGATTGATACAAATACAAAAAGACAGAGTAAAAGTACAGTTAGGTCATAGAATAAGAAGTATCTTTAATAATGGAAAAGTAGAGGAAAAATGGGTGTTAGCCTAAGGGGATACATCTGACTGTGGTGACCTGGGTTTAATTCAGGCAAGGTAATTGTGAAAGTTTGCATCAGTCACCCACAGCGTTATGTTCAAACTGACTGCTGTGGCTTTCATTCTTTTTCCAGGTAACATTTCAAAGGTCAGAGTTATGTCTTGCCCAAGGCTTTAACGGCAAGGTGATATAAAATTAAACCTTCATCAGAGCAGTAGTAGTACTTTTATTAAGTATAATATTTT